CGTGAATTCGGTACTTGCTCTTGCAGCTGGTTACACTACCTCCAAGGTTGGTATTTAAAATTTGAGATTTTTATTGTAAGTTTTCGATTTATGAGTTGTGTTACCCCAAGTGCTTAGTAATGTGTGTTGTTATTGTTTTGATATGGCTTGATCGTTTCCTCTTTGATTGACCTACAAGTTTCTTAGTGTGAGATGACAGGGGTTGTAGTAGACGTTGGAGATGGGGCAACTCATATTGTTCCTGTTGCAGAAGGTTATGTTATTGGGAGCAGCATCAAGTCAGTTCCTATTGCCGGGAAAGATGTCACTCTCTTCGTCCAGCAGCTTATGCGGGTATGCTGTCTTCCATTCTCACTAATAACTTCAATTGTTTTTTACCCTTATGGGATTCCATTCTTGCTAGTTGTATTCATATTCCCTTTGTTGTGATCATAAAAAAATGGTAAGCTAGGGTTAGTGTTTGGAACCAGACAATAGTGTATGAACTTTCACGAAATTTTATGAATTATGGCTTATATAGAGTACTTATGACTAAGATTTACAGATGAATTTTTTGTGTGCTTATGCTGCTTGCATTATATGCAGGAAAGAGGAGAGAATGTGCCACCAGACGACTCCTTTGATGTAGCTCGCAGAGTGAAGGAAATGTATTGCTATACTAGTTCTGATATTGTCAAGGTCAACTTTATTTCCATGATCATTTTAGTTTTGAAGACCTTGGTACAATTTGATGTAATTTTTGTTTTACCTGATGTAACAACTCCTTATGTTACATTCATTTGTGTGAGTTTATTTTTCAATTAGGAGATTGTTTGATGACAAACTCTTGTTTCTCCAATGATTGAAGGAGTTTAATAAGCACGATAAAGAACCATCCAAGTATATTAAGCAATGGAGAGGCATCAAACCAAAAACAGGGGCGCCCTACTCTTGTGACATTGGCTATGAACGATTTCTTGGCCCAGAGGTTAACTTCCTCTCCTCCTCCCCTAAAATGTTTCCTTTTTCTTCTTCTCAATCACTGTTTGGTACTAACCTTTCTCCGCTAATTTGTCTTGAATGCTTTAATAGGTTTTCTTCAATCCTGAGATTTATAGCACCGACTTCACCACTCCCTTACCCGTTGTAATTGACAAGTGTATTCAGTCTGCTCCAATTGACACTAGGAGGTCTTTGTATAAGGTGAAGTAGGCCTTGCAATTCTTCATAGATTAGATGTATTTTACATTTGTAATTGAAGCAATATGAATTAATATGCTGTGCGGCTCCACTGTGGTGCTGAGGCCTTGTAATGGTGTTCAGAAAACATTACTGAATGATTCTTTGTTTAAACTGAGGTTGAATTTTGTTTTCTTCAGTTACGCCTTACTAGGTATTGTTTTCTACAAATGTCATATAACTTTACAGTCATTCGTTCTGAGTTGTTTTCTCTTTGAACTTTAGCATTAATTTTCTCCTATGTTCATGGTTTGGTGTTTGAATTGTTTTTAGCTCTAAGGTCTGGACCTAGTCCCATGAAAATCTTTTTTTTTTCCCTTATGTAAATTCTCCAAAGGCTATTGTATTATGCTCTCATGTATAGTAAATTAGTGATCTTCGTTATTTACTAAATATTTCTTTATGCAACTTATGGATTTGGTCTCATGATTGTTATTGTTATTCTCAGAATATAGTGTTGTCTGGAGGTTCAACCATGTTCAAGGACTTCCATAGGAGGTTGCAACGGGATATAAAGAAGATTGTGGATGCCCGGCTTCTTGCATCTGAAGCTCGAGTTGGTGGAGAAGTAAAAGTAAGCATTTTTATTTAGAAGTGTGTGCAATGTGTATTTATATAAACTAGTAAGCATATGCAGCTTATTTACAATACCAGAGTTTGATTTTCATTTTTGTTTGTGCCCGCAGTCACATCCAGTGGAAGTGAATGTAGTTAGCCATCCCATCCAGAGATTTGCAGTTTGGTTTGGCGGCTCAGTACTTGCATCCACACCTGAATTCTTTGCAGTATGAGTTTATTCTTCTAATCTGAGGGCATGACAACTATTGCAGTCTTCTCATATTCCACCTTTTTCTATATATCAAAGCTATTTGTGTAGAAACTTGCATATCTCCTTTTGCTTTGAATCATGTGTTGGAGCTATTTAAAGGTTTTTGTTAATGCAGGCTGACAATCATATTTTTTTTTATGTCTCTGACTTTATCTCTATATCTGGAAACCCTCAAAGAACCTTTAAGTTGCCATGGGGCTTGAAGCCATTACATCAATGTTTTTGTGATATGGGGATTTTAACAATATCTTGCAAATTTATGATAAAGTTTTATTGAGTCACTGCACGGTATAGTTCTGCGAGTTAAACTGAGTTCGAAACAAGTGTTGTCTTGTTAGTATAAATAAGGCACCTGTTTGGAGTCCAAATAATTTGACACTTGGAATCAAAAGAGAGCTTGGTCTAATTTTTGTGTAGAAACAGCATGCTATATTCAGTTTTTGCTTTCACTTGGACAATGCTAGACCTTTGCATCTTTTCTGTGAGATCAAGGGGTTTTGTCCCTTTGTCTTCTATAATACGTTGAGTCTTAATTGTTCAGAAATCGAATGGCATCAAGGGGAACTTAACTTATCATGGAGGAGGAGATCATCTCCTCTCCAAAAATACAGACACAGTTTTTGATGTTTCTGCAACCTCGGCATTGATGTTGAGCTTTCACCTTATTTTATGCTTAAATTTAAAAGTGCCAAAATTTTATCGTTTGTCCGTTGCTAAATTCATATTGTGTATTGAGATGTTCATATCTGTGCAGGCTTGCCATACAAAAGAAGAGTATGAGGAATACGGTGCAAGCATATGCAGAACAAATCCTGTTTTCAAGGGGATGTATTGATTCAGATATCGATTTTGGCTGGATCACTTGCTGGCAATTCCTGATTCAAATTGGAATTCCCTGTCAATTCCACCTCCGACATGCTCAGTAATTTTACTTACTGGATTTTCACGGTATCATCTCTATGCATGTGCTGCTAGAGGCGGTGTAAAATATAGTTACTCAGTTAAATTTGTAAGAGAAATGGGGTTTTCTTTTTGTAGTGATTATTTCTTTAGGTGGCAATAGGTCTCCCAGAAGCAGATCGGAAATAGCCTTTGCAGTTTTCGCATGTCCAAGGGCCCTGGAGGATCAGATATGAATCGTGAATCGGCTCAGGTGCAGTTTTGATGTTCAGCTAAGATGGAGTTTGCTTAAGATCATTAGCCGTTGAAGTTTTTTCTCGAGCGATATAACAGCGTAGTGCATTTCGGGTAGGCAGTTCGATTCTTTTGGAATGGATTTGTGGTAGCACAATAATTTCTAATTTTAGCTGAATATATTTCGATCACAAGACAGATGTTACAGATTGTGTATAATTTCCTTTTGTTCAACGATGTTCACGTTGAAGAAATATATGTGTATTAAACTCCAAGCAACCTCTACTACGGTAACTTCTGAAAGGCATTTCGTTTTTTCTTTTGGAATACCTTGTTTAGAACTTTGAGAGAAATTTATATGCAAATGCAACTGAGACGTCGATGTGGCTGTGTCCTAAATCTATCATGGACCGTCAAAAGTAATAGGGGTGATGTTTACACATCATTTTTTACTTCTCACATACTTTTTTAATTTTTCACCGTCTGATCGGATGAATTGAAGAAGATCAACGAACAGAAATTAGTAAAGAAATTAGTCAAGGGCGTGTGAGAAGTAAAAATGGATGTGTGGATAGCACATCCCAAATTAATATCATATATGGGCACACCCCAAAGTAATAAGGAAAACTAATGAAAATGGTTTGAAAACTTTGAGTTTTAATGATAAGGACAAAATAAAGGGTAAAGTGAATAGTACCAGGATTGACTTTTTAGTGTAAAAATGTGATTTTTCGTTAAAATGAACAGTACCGGATGTTTTTCATTAAAATTCCCAAAGTAATATCATGTATGGGTACATGGGATGTGACTTGGTGTTGTCCTTCGTAACCAAGGAAGGAAAAGATTAGAGGACATGATGCGAGTGTGGTAAAATGTCAATTTACATTATCTCGAAATTATCTGTACATCACTTTCCATTCCTCAAAACTCACCAATGAAATAAAACAAAAGCTAACAGTAAACGAGAAAAGACAAATTTTTTGTAGGAAAATTAGAGAGATTGTCAAATACACGGAAGAAAAAATCAATTTGCACTCTATATTTTCTATATTCAGAAAAAAGAGTTTCTATCATACTATCTTCAACTCTTAGATTTAAATTTTAAAGTTTTTAATTCACAAAATTTAGGTTTTAACCGAGAAACTGTTGTTTTGCGCAAATCCTTCTATATCGGGTTAAATTTTTAAGTCCGAGATTATTAAAAAATGAATTTAGGATAAATTTTTTCCTAAATTAATTTTCAAAAAAAAAGTAGACTATCCTAATTTAATTTTGTGTAAATTCTAATCTAAAAATATTTATATTTTGATAAATATTGAAAAATCACTAAATAGGCATCACGAAACTCGTGGAACACTTTGAAATAATATAAAGCACATGAAATATTTTTTTTTAAAGTATTTTAGCTGTTGAATTTAAATTTGAATTGTTAATTTTTTTTTTACCGTTAAATTTGAACATATTCGATTTTAACCGTTAGATAACTTAAATTCAATAAATTTATAAGTATAAAATTATAAAAAAAAATACAATAATAAAAGGGGTGTGATATCCACACACCCCATTTTACTTCTCACACACCCTTCTAATTTTTGACCGTCGGATCGGATGAATTGAAGAAAATCAACGAATAGAAATTAACAAGGGGTGTATGAGAAGTAATTTGGGGTGTGTGGATAGCACACCCCTAATAAAATAGGCATGAGCAGCACTGGGTTATGAATTATGATAATGCGATTTGTGTGGTGGAGAACATGTGATGAGCATTTTAACACTTCAGTGAAATAAGGCAAAGGTTTCAACTTTTTACAATTTGGAAAATACAGAAATTACAGAGAGAGCACCAGAGGCGAAGGAGAAGGAGGTGGAAAGTTGGAAACTTTGGAGTCGATCCGAATTGGTGTGTATCGATTCGTATGGTGAAAGGTATCCCACTGTAGAAAAGAAAATGCGTAGAAGATATTATTAAAATACAAACACAGAAAGGAAGAGGAGGAATGGCCGTACTCCTTCCTTGTTGGTATTCATGAGAAAAGCTTGAGAGAGAGAGAGAGAGAGAGAGAGAGAGAGAGAGAGAGGGAGGGAGGGAGGGGACGCAGCTGCTGCGACTCTGTCGGACGCCGTGGTACTAGCTGAGAGATATTATTAGTAAGACAACAACATCCTCTGCGAATCCAACAGCATGTTCCAATCTCCTCGTCCCATGATTCTTTGTTTCCATTTTCTTCTCTGCATTGTCCGTCTTTCATCACTTTATTGAATCTTGTTATGCTCTAAGGCTGAATCTGTTTCTTCTGGGAGATTTCCCAACTGGGTATTCTCTAGTTGTCTGTTTTTTTCCTGCTATGATTATCTGGATTTCTGTCTACGATTGTATTAATTAATTTTTTTTAAATTTTTTTCATCTGTGATTTGAGTTTCTGATATATACAAATTTTCATGCGATTTCGTGAAGTGGGTTATTGTAATTCTAAATTTTACGAAGTTGGGTTGTGGAATCTGTGATTTCCTAAGTGGGTTTTGATCTATCTTCTGATGGGGTTATTGTTTTCGGGTCGATGATGATGCAGTCTGTAATTTTTTTGTATTTGATTAGTCGCTTAAGTAATTTCTTTTAATGAAGAAGAAAGGCTTCATTTTTCAAGCTGTATATATGAGATAGAAGAAAGACTTGGATTTCCGGGTCCTTTTTCTTACTCTCTGTGGTTAAAGTTATGTTTGTGTTCAGATCTGTATCTATCCATGTTTCCGGTTTGCAGTCTCGTATCTATGATGGGTCTAAGAACGGATTTTTTTTCTTCGTTATGTATTATATAGGTAGAGGTAGAGATTGTTCGACTCCATATCGGGTGTATATTGGTTGGTCTAAATGGATCCGTTGGGTGAAGAGCAAATAGATTATGAAGATGAGGAATATGGAGGGGCTCATAAGCTTCAGTATCAGGGAAGTGGAGCCATCTCTGCGCTTGCAGATGAAGAACCGATGGTCGAAGATGATGAGTTCGATGATCTCTATAATGATGTTAATGTTGGAGAGGGTTTCATGCAGATGCACCGGTCCGAAGCATCACTCCCAACTGGTGGTGTTGGCAATGGAGGACTCCAAGCACAGAAAACTGATGTTCCTGAACCAAGAGTTCAAGCTGGTGTGTCTCAGGACCTGAAAATTCCTGGGGTTTCAGTTCAAGGGAAGTATTCTGGTGCTGGGGCCCAGTTTCCAGAACAGAATCAACCACCAGTGGCGAAGGAGCCAGAACTGGGATCCACAGATTATGTGAGTGGGGCTTCTGGATCACAGAAGGGGAGGGTTATGGAGATGACTCATGATCCTCAAGTCAGACATATGGCGTTCCAGGGGTCAACAACTATGCCCCCAAATGTCGGTGTCGATTCTTCTGATATTACTGGAAAAGGTAATAGTGAGTTTGTTCCGTCTCTGAATCCTGCCAGTGCTGGCCCTCCAGGAGCTACACAGATACTGACCAATCAAATGAGTATCAAGATAAATGCTAATCGTCCAATGGTTAATGAAAACCAAATCCGACCACCAATTGAGAATGGTTCGGCCACGCTGTTTGTGGGAGAACTACATTGGTGGACAACTGATGCTGAGATTGAAAGTGTTATATCTCAGTATGGGAGGGTCAAGGAAATTAAGTTTTTTGACGAGAGGGCCAGTGGTAAATCCAAAGGTTATTGTCAGGTTGAGTTTCATGATCAAGCTGCTGCCACGGCATGCAAAGAAGGGATGGATGGTTATGTTTTCAATGGAAGAGCTTGTGTTGCGGCTTATGCTTCCCCGCAAACCTTGAAACAGATGGGAGCTTCTTATTTGAGCAAATCCCAAGGTCAGGCTCAGGCTCAGCAACCAGGAAGAAGGCCCATGAATGATGGTGGTGGGAGGGGGGGAGGTGTGAATTTTCAAGCTGGAGACCCAGGAGGTAGGAATTTTGGAAGGGGTGGATGGGGACGAGGTGGACAGGGAGTAAGAGGTCCTGGAGGTGGAGGACCAATGAGGGGAAGAGGAGGGGTCATGGGTGCGAAGAACATGGTTGGGAATCCTGCTGGTGTTGGAACTGGTGCTAATGGAGGTGGCTATGGACAGGGCCTTGGAGGTCCTGGATTTGGTGGTCCTGTAGGAATGATGAATCCACAGGGTATGATGGGTTCTGGATTTGATCCAACATATATGGGTCGAGGAGGTGGTTATGGAGGGTTTCCAGGTCCTGCTTTTCCTGGAATGCTTCCTCAATTTCCTGGTGTTAATACAATGGGACTTGCCGGGGTGGCTCCTCATGTAAACCCAGCTTTCTTTGGCAGGGGAATGGCAACTAATGGGATGGGGATGATGGGTTCTTCCGGAATGGAGGGACACCATGCAGGGATGTGGAATGACCCAAGCATGGGGACCTGGGGAGGAGAAGAACACGGTCGAAGAACTAGGGAGTCAAGTTATGGTGGTGATGATAATGCTTCTGAGTATGGATACGGTGACACAAATAATGAGAAAGGACCAAGGTCAAGTGCTGCCTCGAGGGAAAGAGAAAGGGGATCTGAGCGTGACTGGTCAGGAAACTCTGAGAGGAGGCATCGTGATGATAGGGAACAAGACTATGAAAGGTCTGAAAGGGGGGAGCAAAGGGAGCATCGGTACAAGGAAGAAAAAGATAGTTATCGAGACCATCGGCAGAGAGATCGTGACGGGGGTTATGAGGATGACTGGGACAGAGGTCAGTCTTCTTCAAGACCTCGTAGCAGGTCCAAAGCTGTGCCAGAGGATGATCATCGGTCTCGATCAAGGGATGTTGATTATAAGAGGAGACGATTGCCATCTGAGTGACAGAGTTAGATCATTACATTCTATGGCAGGTCTTTGAGACTGCAGAATATAAATTCTGACTATTACTATATGTAGCTTTTGATACGGTCAGTGAATCTGCATTCTTCTTCTGGGCTTCTACGGGCCTACTGCCTACCAGCAAGCGTCGCTTCTTGAAGGAGAAGTAAGTTCTACTGGTGTGCATAGGAGGGAAGTATCAGTTCCCCCTTTGCTTTTCTATACTGCTTTCTTCAGAACATTTAGCTGTGACAATTAATATTTGTGTGCTTAAAAACAATTAGTAACTTTTAGTAGCATACCGATGAAGATATAGCTGTGGGGTTTGGCTACTCATTTCCTGCGGTTATTATCTTCTTGGTCGAATAACTTTGCTACCTAAGTTCTTCAAGACAATTGCTTTATTGGGTTTGTGATATTTATAGTTTGAAAACTTCTTGTGCTCTGTGACTGGGGAGTTGTTTTTCCTTTCTAGATTTATTTTATCTCTTGAGTGAAGCCTGTGCTTGATCTTAACTAAAAGGTTGAGAAAGATGTTGGCATGATTGGCTATGAATAGCTTTGACCTGCAAACTGCAAGATTAATTGGGGAGGGAGTTGTGTGATGTCCTTGTTATCTAATGTGTCTCATGCCTCTAGGGAAGTTAGTTACACAATGGATTGGATACCGTTAACTTTGATTGCTATGTTAATTTTTTGTCTTGATCTTCGTATTATTATAGTGGTCGCAATAGATTATGAGGTGGTGTCTTGGCAAGTTATTTTATTTGATGTCTATTGACATGCGGGTTTTCTTTTAACCATCATATCCAGGGAGTAGAGTGGGCAACTCCTTCATTTCATGATTGAATCAGCCTGTGCTGGTCACATGGTGGAAGATGTGTTACATGGATGCGTTGCCAACTATGCAAAAGAAAAGAGTGTCCTCGAACTAGTGAAATATTTAAAGGAGACTTGTCATTGTGCATGTAACAACTTAATGTCTTTGTGTAATTGTAGACTTCATGTATTAGGTCCACTTGTAATCCCCCCTTCTTTTGTTTCTATGCCTGTATTAGGATTTAGGCTTAGCAACGAGCTTGTAAAAGTCATGTACAATGTGCTTAGTTGTACATGTTCAGCGTGTTGTAATTGTTGTTGCCTGCGCTGTGCGCTATAGGGAGTTAGGATTGAGCCATTGATATGCTGTAACAAGAAGCCACCATGCTAAATCGTAATTAGTCATAGTGATATTTGTACAAACCAGTTTCTGCTGAAGCCACTTCCTGTAAAGAATCTTACTTCCTGTGTGTAATATGTAACTGTGAGTTGTGTTTGGGTTTAGGGGTTGTGAGTAGCAGCTGCGTTGTAAATGGGTTGGGACGGAAACAGTTGTTAAGACTAGGGTTTGTTTTTCTCTTCAGGGAGACATATTCTGTGCCCCTTGTGTACATTTTTTTGGACGTAGTTTTGTACTTCAGAGATTTCATGTTGTCGATTTCTCAACAATGTATCATTTAGTTAGGTTGTCTGAAATAGTTGTTTAGACAAGTTGTATTGTTTCTCAACAATGTATTTTACAAATTTGGTGTATAGTCATGTTTAGTGTATGAGAAGCTGCATCATTCTTGAAGAAGGCATTCACTGGAGGAGATTTGATTTACACGTCTTCCTGCCGGCACTACTTTCTTTGCTGTATCTTGATTCTGTTAGTATACAGTAATTCTGCACATACCATGTAGCCCTGCTGCTGTTTGAGCTCTGCCATTGTAATTTTCGTTTCAAGCTTCGTAGTTGGCTATTCAATTTGGAGTATTGAAACTCTAGGTGCGATTCAGAGTTGATATAATAATGTCACAAGCGGAAAGCCGCATTTCTTTTCAGATTAGTCTTTTGAGCTATAGCTTTTATCTTCAAGCTCTGTTTGTCAGTACGCAGTAGTTGAGGCCGTTCATGTCGGTTTTTCTGTTGCGTCATAGTTCTTAGCTGCAACTGTTAATTCACAGATGGTCTTTCATGTCTCTGCAATCTCTGCCATTTTAAAACTGCTTGGCTATGTTTATTTGAATCTGCCAATGGTTTTTGCTTCTATTTGATCGTAGTACATACGAGCGTGTGACAGCGGTAGACGGAGTTTTGGTTTGCATGCTTTGTTGGTTTGTTTCTTTCCCGATCCACTGCTTCGATGCCTATCGTTGTTTTGTTCTTTCTGGGATTTTCGATTACGAATCTTGTGGATTTTTTAGCAGCTGGTTTTATTATTATTTAGGCAGTGCACTTTAAAACCAGATCTTGGCAGTGCCATTATTTATTTATTTTTTATTTTTTGGAAACTGGGAAATCCATTACTAGGGCAAAAATGCCAAAACATACAAGGAAAGCCTACAAAAAGGCAAGCAAATAACTAGGCAGAAATTTAAGCCGAGCGGTGTAGGGAGGTACAAGAAGAACGACGCTGCAACAATGCTAATGCGTTGCCCTTTACACTGCCGATAAAACAATTAAGGAGGACAAGGTAAATCATCATTGTTAAGAACATGCACCAATGCAGATGGAGGTTGAGTGACCCATGTTACATTGCACATCTTCGGATTTCTCACGAATCTGATAGGCAAGATATGAATTCGAAGGAATCATATTCGATTATAAGTGCCTTCATTCTGCATGAAGGCACTTTATTTCCTAGTTGAATTGCTGTAACGAATTATACACCCCGAGTTCCTATAGGTAATCTTCATTGGAGAAGAACTTACATGCAACTGTAATACATGTCTTCTTGCAATTAAGATAGATTAGTCTTCTTGGGTATATTTCAGTCAGCTCTAGTTCTTGGCAGTTGTTTGTTCAAAATTTTCAAACTTAAATAACGAGGATTTATTATTACGGTCTAATGAACAAGTGAAGTCTGGACGAATTTATTCATTCATCCTTTAGTGTATATATATCGTTGTATAATAAAAAATATAATGTGAAGAAAATCGAAACACTGGATAAAGTTTAGATTTCAGATGGTGCAAAACTGCATTGATTTTTTTTATAGTAAGTGAATTACAAGCGGAATTACAACACAAAAGAATAACGTTCTAATTTGTAAGGTCTAAATATTAGTTCAATTACATTAACAAGAAGAAGTAATTTTAATTAGTGCCTAGTCTAACATGTTTCAAGCTATCTTCATGGCATGTACGTATGTACGAGCATTCGCTGGTGTCGAAAAAGTACTAATACGATCAATCATTTCATGAGCCTAACGTTATTCGTAATAATATCGAGCACAAGCGTTTTCATGGGAATTATATACTATGCATGCACGCACGGGGCTTAGAACAATAAGGAGGCGGCGACGCCAGCGGCAACAGCTACTCCGGCGGAGAGCTGTGCAACGGTGGCAGCGCTAGGTTTAGGACCCTCGGCATTACCACTGGCAATGGAGCCAAAAGCTGAGGCAGAGACAGGTCCACCAACGGAGCCTGCGGCAACGCTGTCGGTAGCACCACCGGGAGAAGGAGCCTTGGAAGCACCATCACCGGAGCCACCAACGGTTCCCACATCGTTATTGTCTGGGACTGGTCCCGCCGAGGGCACACCAATGAAGGTTGGGAGGCCGGGTTTGGTGGCGGCGGCGGGGGTGGGGGCGTCAGCAGCGAAAGCCAACCCCACGGTGGCCAACAGAACAAGAGCAAGAACAACAACTTGTTGGCGTGCCATTTTGTATGATTAAAAGGAGGGGTAAGTACCAAGTATGCGCGCAGTTGGTTTTGGTTGGTGCGTTTGAGAAACACTGCAGGCTAATGGAAATTGGCGGTGGGTGGTGGTGGGTTTGGGTGAGAAGTGGGTTTATATAGGAATATTGGGGTGGACGGAGATTGGTGGGCGTGGAGGGCGTTGCGGCGTAGAGCTAGGAAAGCCATCGGTGGCACCGTGGCGCGCAGTTTGTTATGAGCTAATTTCAGTTGGTACCGTTATTTTTTTGTTGGAAAATCTTTGTGAGTTCCTTACCTTGGTCTTTTGAGGTTGCATCTATATTTATTTTCCAAGTAAAGATTAATTTAGAATGGCTTCCAACTTATTAGATGTTACAATGCCATCACGTGACACTGACAATTAGTAGTACCAATCAACAAGTGCATGACGACACATGACAGTGTAATTATTAAAAAAAATTACTCTGCTACGTGTCATGCACATGTTGGTGAATACTACTAACTGTTAGTGACACGTAATTATATTGTATCATCCAATAATTTATCTAGCTTATTTTGATTTGCCTTTTTCCAATTTTAATTTATTTATGAGCCCTTTTAATCTTTTACGCATGCCAAATTAACATATCTATTAAATTTAGGGTTAAAAACCTTTTAGTCGTTGTGTTGATACTTAAAATCTCTCAAATGTAAGAGTCTTAACAGAAAAAGAGTCGGGCCAAACAAACCAATCCGGGTCGAAGCCCATATGGTGCATATAAAGCCCATACGTAATACGACATCCAGAAGGTTTCCCACTTCAAGCGGTCAAAATCTCAAACCCCAAACCCTAAGAGCAGATGCTTTAAACAGAGAAGGTGGTAGAGCTAGTCCGAAGAGGGAAGAAGAGAAGTGAGAGTGAGGGGAACAAGTGAATCGAGAAGCATCGCGGTTCGATTTGGGAAGAGGGTGTTGGTGCAGCAATGGCGCTGGCATTCGACGAGTACGGGCGGCCCTTCATAATACTGAGGGAGCAGGAGCAGAAGTCTCGATTGCGCGGCCTCGATGCTCAGAAGGCCAACATTTCCGCCGGCAAGGCCGTCGCTCGCATCCTCCGGACCTCCCTCGGACCCAAGGGCATGGACAAGATGCTCCAGAGCCCCGATGGTGAAATCACTGTCAGTAAGTATCTCTCTCTCTCTCTCTCTCTCTCTCTCTACAACTCTTACTCGCACGTTTCTGCTCGATTCGAATTTCTGGTTGATTTTTGTAATTACTGTGTGGATCTACGTGTTTGTCTTTGTCTGTTCATTGTGATTTGGGTTCGTTTCCCCTTCATTTTCTTAGTTTGTCATGATTTTTTCACTCTGAAATTGTTAGGCTTGAATTTCATATGCTATTCTGAGCACTGGGTTAGTGTGGGTTTTACTCTGATTGTTGTATTAATAACGGTAGTCGGCTTTGAGATCAATTGCTGTTTTAGTTTTAAGATTTGCTTAGCATTGCCTTACCATTTGTTTATCTCTTTCAGCAAATGATGGTGCTACGATTCTGGAGCAGATGGATGTCGACAATCAGATCGCGAAGCTGATGGTCGAACTATCCCAGAGTCAGGACTATGAAATTGGTGATGGGACAACTGGAGTCGTTGTGTTGGCTGGTGCACTTCTAGAGCATGCTGAGCGGCTGTTGGAGCGCGGTATCCACCCCATACGTGTTGCAGAGGGATACGAATTGGCATCCAGAATAGCGGTCGACCATTTGCAGCATATATCACACAAATTTGAATTTGGTCTGGATAATATAGAGCCTCTGGTTGGAACTTGCATGACCACTTTATCGTCCAAGATGTAAGTGAACCTTTTAGATTTTCTTTTCACTTATATGTGTTGCTGCAGTTCGGTCATACTTATGATAGTAAGTTTACTTCACCACTTTGCTGTATGATGGTTTTTGTCATCATAATGTATGGATAATTTTGTACTCTGAGTAAAAATTATGCTTTCTTTTTGACGAGTTAGATAAGTTTCATGGTTTGTTGTAATAGCGTGCTGTTATTGCACCCCTTCCCCATTTGCTAATTTTTAATAGATTGTTCTGTCAAAGTGTCTTTTATTGTCTTTCTATTATTGACTTGAATTAAAAAATTTCTTTTTCATGCTGTAGTGTGAATCGGTGCAAACGTGCCCTTGCTGAGATTGCTGTGAAGGCAGTTTTGGCCGTTGCTGATTTAGAGAGGAAAGATGTGAACCTAGATTTGATAAAAGTAGAGGGGAAAGTTGGGGGTAAGTTGGAAGATACTGAGCTGGTATATGGTATTCTTATTGACAAGGATATGAGCCATCCACAAATGCCAAAGTACATTGAAAATGCAAAAATTGCTATCTTGACTTGCCCCTTTGAGCCACCAAAGCCAAAGACAAAACATAAGGTTGATATTGATACAGTGGAAAAGTTTCAGACTCTACGTATGCAAGAACAGAAGTACTTTGACGACATGGTCCAAAAATGCAAGGTCAGAGTGCATCCCTTAGTTCTATAATGTTATGCTATTAACAAAAAGTTATGAAATTCATGGCTACAATGATACTTATGGATAATCATTGGATGCAGGATGTTGGTGCTACCTTGGTCATCTGTCAATGGGGGTTTGATGATGAAGCAAATCACCTATTGATGCACAGGAACTTGCCTGCTGTCAGATGGGTTGGTGGTGTAGAGTTGGAACTAATTGCAATAGCTACAGGTATGCCTTATTTTGAAGACTATTTAGCAGTTGAAGTTTGGTGGATATTTTTAGCATGCTATGGATTTATACTATTTTGTCATCTTTCTCCACCAAAAACTGATATATGTATGTGTTTGTAGGAGGAAGAATTGTGCCCAGGTTCCAAGAATTGACACCCGAGAAATTAGGAAAGGTATATCTCTGTAAGAATATTGTTTGTTATTTAATTCTTAATTACAAGCAATTTCACATAACAAGTGTTCATTATTTCCAACATATTTTTATTTTTGAATTCAATATTTTGAATTTAGTTAATACATTATACATATATTTTCCATTCTTGTAAACATTTATAAACCCTAATTTGAAGTGTTGTTTTTAACTCATTAGGCTGGTATAGTTCGCGAAAAATCATTCGGCACAACAAAAGATCGAATGCTGTACATCGAACACTGTGCAAATTCAAGGGCTGTGACCATATTTATCCGTGGAGGTAGATTTCTTTACTTGTCTATTTCCTGTTACCTCCAACTTGATTCAGCATGTCAACTAAGTGAAATTGATGTCAATGAGATTAGGTAGCACAACATATGAAATGAATTGTATGCATGGTTAGCAGATTTTGCAATCTTAGTCTTGCTTTTTGTTATCTTTCCCAGTGTTATGGTTATTCTTCAAGCCTGATGTAAAGTTCTTATAAGATGTTTTGGTGTTTCTTTCGGCTCATTAGGTAACAAAATGATGATAGAGGAGACTAAGCGCAGCATCCACGATGCCCTCTGTGTTGCTAGGAATCTCATCCGCAACAATTCTATTGTGTACGGCGGTGGCTCAGCAGAGATATCTTGCTCCGTTGCCATAGAGGCAGCAGCAGACCGATACCCAGGAGTTGAGCAAGTATGAAGATAGTCACCCCCCTCATTTCTTTGCATTTATATAAATGTATTAAGCATATTGTTATAATCAAATCTTCCTTTCCTCCACAGTATGCCATTAGAGCATTTGCAGATGCTTTGGATGCTGTTCCTATGGCGCTTGCAGAGAATAGTGGCCTTCAACCCATCGAAACACTATCTGCAGTGAAAGCTGAGCAGATTAAGGTAAATGAAGCATGATAGCCAACTTACTTGTGACTCTCTCTCCCTCTCTCTCTCTCTCTCTCTCTCTCTCTCTCTCTCTCTCTCTCTCTCTCTCTCTCTCTCTCTCATGTATGGCTGTGATTCTGAATTTTGATCATCAATTCGAATTGTTAATGCAGGAGAACATTCCCTACTATGGAATAGACTGCATCGGCACTAATGATATGCGGAAGCAGAATGTCTTTGAGACATTGATCGGGAAGCAGCAGCAAATCTTACTGGCAACACAAGTCGTGAAGATGATACTAAAAATCGATGATGTTATTTCCCCCTCTGATTACTAAGCCTGTTTTACCTGGGGATGATTTTGTGTAATTTTGTTGGCTTGTTTCAGAATTTTGAGTGACTTGTTTACAACATATGGTTCGGTTGTTGGAAACTTGTTTGTAGAATTTGGAGTTGCTTTTTTCACTGATTGTAGTATCATCACTCCTGTCTTAATGCATTGCTGTTTTTGTTAAGCGTTTGAATTATCGTCCAACTGTGACCATATCGGTTTCATCTGTGCCCCTTGAGGAGAGTTTAAGTTCTGGCCACGGAACGTCTTCTTTCCCTTTGTTTCATTGGTGTGAGCTAGGCCAAGTGATTGAGGATGAATTGGAAGAAATTGGCATCAACCTGTACTGATTCATCTATTTGTTGGAATAACAACGGATAAGTTTCCTTCACAGCCAATCTATTATTTCCTTCCGCTTAGAAGATTTTTGGAACTTGACCCCTGTTTTTTTACTTTCATTCTAGTGAGTTATCCAATTCTAGCCAATGACCGTGGTCATTGAGTAATTCCGAAACTTATAGTACAATCCATGACTGTAAAAAAACTGAAAAATGCTCTCGTATTATCTATTTTTGTAGATCTACCCCAATGTCAGTAGATAGAAGAGATGCCATCCTGCTCATGATTTGTCAGTCTTCCCAGTGTGCATGTTGCTCTCACTGTCTGATGATGAAAATCATTTCATATGTGAAAACTTGGGACTTGAGATTTTGTATTCATAACAATATTTTTAACTCTAGATAATATTAAGAAGGATCCAGCTTCCCATGAGCGGCTGCTAAGATTTATTATCTGCATCCAACATCATAATCAGTAACGCTTATGGAGTTTTGCTGAATTTAACGATTGAATATACGATTAAGAATGCAAAGGACCTTAAT